AAAAAAAAAAAAAAATAGATTTACACTTTTACAAAATAAATAACCTTAAGCATGTAAACAAAATCCAGATGAGAACGAATTCAATGCAACAAATTATCGTTATTAAAGAACTGAAGATTCATAATCAAATACGATCGAGATATATATAGATCCTTTACAGATTTTTTTGCGTAAAATATTATTTCATTTTTTCAATGCTGAAGCAAATGTAATTTTTTGAGCGAAAATGTAAGCGCTGAAGATCGTATTTCTTCGTTCTTCATAATATAATCTGTTATAGAGATTATATATACGTTCTTTTTTTCCTAAATTAATAATTAATTTTTCGACTTTCATAATTTAATGGAACGTATCGAATTGAATTTAATTCCGTTTAAAAAATACTCGTACATTCTATAGAAAAATTATGCCAAATTATGTACCTCCTGAAACCATTAAACCTTTATTTCAAGCATTTTTTAAATCTAAAACCTAGTCATTTCGCAAATATCTAAGTGGAACAATGAAATATACTGTTTTCATATTTGGTATTCAACACACGAAACTTTATGAAAATTATTTATTGAATGTTGAAACCCAAAAAATTTGTTAAATAATCAATACAAGTATATATATCTGTAACTTTAATACTTTAGTATTAAATTTGTAATTAAATTTCAAGTGCTTCAATTTTATTAAAAACTAAAATACCTCGAAACGCTGAAAATTGTTAACGATTCTAATTAAATTCATTCCAGAGTTGCATCAATTTTCGCTGGAAAATATATTTATTGTCGCATTCTTCGTAAGAAAGCTGAGTTATTCATATCCACATCGGAAGATGTTCTTACCGTATTAGGCTTCCGAAAAATCTGAAAAAATTTTAGATTATTGAATGAAATGTTTGCTATACTGTACAATCAATTTTTAAACCAAATCTCTATTCTCTAAGAAGAATGAAATTTTGATTTGGAAGATTCACGAGTGACACTATCCAGCTTGTCTTTGCAAAATTAAAGACAAAATAATAAAGAAGTAACTGTCCATGTTGATGTGGTTCCAATAACTTTGCTCATCTCAAATATTTAAGTGCTATTTAAGTGCTGTTTAATGTGAACGAAAGTTAACAGGGACGGTCATGATATGAATTTTTTTAGATGGAGATTTCAAGGTCATTTTAATTTGTTTTCTTTTTTTTTAGTGGAATGATATATTTTCGAGAAACCGGTGGTTTTGGAATTTATATTGTTCTTGTCATTCGTGCAACATTAAAATATCTACTATGAACAAACAGTTTACACGCCGTAGATTGCCAAACGTTCCAACGAGATGTCAAACGCAAATACACACGCGAAATATCGTCACGGTGAAAATTTCCTATCTCTTATACCTCCCATAAAACCATCCGACGGGATTGTCCAGAATTTCTGGATTCGAACGCGAGATGTTTTCCGCATAGATAAATTATACCGCTTTGATAAAGAAGCAACAAACGCGCATGCATTTAAAAAAAAAAAAATAAAAAAAACGAATAAAAAGAAAGAGAAGAAAGAAAATCCTGAACGACGTGACAGTCGCGCGAATAACAATAGAAAGAAAGGATACACGCGTCGTTCTCTTAACGCTTCTGTCAGATATAGCAAGGAAAATAGTATCTAAATTCCGATTTCAATGCGGCGGAGCGCGTAAGCAATTTCTTTCTCTCTGTTCGCAGAGTATTCATGGAGGACAAAACCTAGTTGCAACGATGGATCAAACAGTTTATTCTCCCGTCCATTTCGCATCGGACGAGTTTCGCTTTCCAAACAGTCCAAGTTCGCGTGCAGTCAGCGACGCGTGGCCGAGCCAGTAATCTAGCAAATACGCGGAATTTCAGCATCGAATCGTTTCATCCCGCGGAACGTACGTTCCTCCGTCCAGTTTGGCCGTCGACTGCTATCGTTATAAATTAACACCGGGATTTTCTATACACGTCGGAGTTTCGACGTATGTGTCGAAGATCTTTCGAGCAGTGCTTCCCAAAAAGGGTGGATGCCGCCCCCTGGTGGACGCTTTCAGAGTTTAATGGCGATATTGAATAAAATAAAATAAAATATGATATAAGTTAAATGACAGAGGAGAAAGGAATAAAGGAAAAGAAGGTAGGGAAATTTTGAAAAACCGTTCGTACGTTGTCTTATTTGCCACAACAGCTCTTCTTACTACGACGGAAGAGATGTGGATACATAGAGCAACGAAAATTTGTCACTGCATTTTTTCTGTTTGTTCATCTGGAGAAGGTAAATAAGCTGAGTAATTTTTTATCTGAAAAAGAGGCGGCCAAAAGGGAATTCCTGAATTGAAACGTGCTCCTGCATTTCTAGACGCGTAATTTTTAAATGTTATATTCAGACTGGACGTATCAAATTTTTAATTACAGTGGACGAGACTATCGAATTTCTTCTTCTCCGAAGAATTTGTTTCTCAACGAGTCGCTTGCCTTTCTATTTTGTGCTCCAAACCCTCATCGATTCTCCCAACACTATTATATATATCTGATTGAAGTTTTTAACTTTTTCAATTTATAGAAAAATACTTTTCTACAACCTTTTCCTTTATATAGTGATAAATAAAACTGAATTTATATCTTTTTTATAAATGATATTTTATTGAGTATTTGTGCGTAAAATACAAAAAGAAAAGTATGTAGTCTTTTATAAAATGTTTTGGCTTTTCAAAAAAATTTTATCTTACCATCATTATTCTGGCAGATACAAACTGTTTTCGTGGAGTTAGTTTTACGCTATATATAATTAATTTAAATGACAAATCGTTGAGACTTTAGACTGTTGCAACTTTGTAAAAGAAAAAATTATGTAATAATCTACTTGATCTCATTCTATTTTAATTATTCAATCTCATTTTAAAGCTTTTATTTTGACTACCCTGGATTGTTTTTTTTTTTTTCTAAGATATTTTAACATCATATAGCAAATAGAAAAATATTTTTTTTTTTTTAAGAAAATTGTAAAAGTTCACACATATGTAGAAACATTGGAAAACGATTCCTTAAAACTTGCTGTACAATTTTGTTTCATCATTATATTGGTTTTTGAACATTAGGGTTAAACGATAATTCAGGAAATCCTAATATTTCGTCATTTAACCTTAACATTCATTAAAGTTCAATAAAATGGTAAAAAAAAAATCGTACAGCAAAGTTTAAAGGATCACTGTAAAGGAAAGATTTCAATTATCAAGACTTTGATGTATGAAGTTATGGAAAAATTTTTTCATGTTATTAGAGATGTTCGAATTTTCACGATTTTCGAGAATAAAAGTACTCTTATCTTTTACCATGATGTAGAAATTTTTTTGGAAAAAAAACGAACTTAGGACAATTAAAACAAAAGATTCACAAATTACATGATTTAAAATCAAATCAATTGTTGTATGACTTTTTTTGTACTAAGATATAAGAGTTTATAATATCAACAATTTCTTATCATTATATGTGTTATACTTTTCACTGTACATGTTAGTGACGATGCATTTTTATAGCTTGTAATTCAACTTTTTATTTCAATTTACGATTGGACTGGAGTTAATTACCATTACATATTTTTTTATTACACTATTATCTTTATTTAAAAAGTCAATATAAAGGTATTTCTAGTATAAAAAGAAAAAAAAACGGGCAATAGTGGCGCTCGTGTAGCATAAAAGAAAAAGAAATAGCAGAATAAACTTACAATCAGAGTAATAAACTAGGTATAGAGAAAGCCTCTTCTTATGGCTTGCAGAGAAATTGATATTAAATTGGTCACGATTGGCTCGCGAGCCAATTCAATAAGCCTAGTGTATTTTAAAGAGTAAAATTAATACTGATAGAGACGACCAAATATTTTTAGCGCGTATGCGGGATTTTTTAGGACCGTGAGCATCTCGATGTGTGCGCCAAAGATTTTTCCTGCACTTTTATACACAATTCTCAAGTGTTTCACTTGCGTACTCACAAATATTGCCAAAATATTGCAACATGACTTTCATTTTTGGAAAATAAAATTTTCTATTCTTACAATTTCTCCTTAGAGAAATACGTTTGTTCTTCTATCTATCGTTTGCTTTTTCTCTATCGTTCATTTTACCAAAATTGCTTCAAATACGCATTGCAACTTAATCTGACAATTAGCTTTTAATTCAAGGAATGTTAAATACAAATGGATGGAGATTTTTCTTAATCGTTGATTATTATTAACAAATTTTGAAGGAATTCAGGATAAGTTAATTGATCTAAACCTAAATATAAACAAGGAATATGTTTTATTTCGATTATATATTTTAATCAGAATAGTACCTACGCTTTGTTACAATTCAAATGAAATTATTATATAACCAAATTTAATAAGTCCACCGATTTATTTAATTAATTTCATTTAATGAACGATTACAAAATTCTATTAGACAATTAAACGAATCATCGATTTCTTCACGATTAATTTTACTTTACGATCAAATCAATCGCCTTTTCTTCTCGATTAATTTTATAAATCGTAAACATTAATCAGTCGATCAAATTAAAAATTTCAACCGATTAACACTTAACTCCGACTCTCATCTACCGAGTTAAACAACAAAAAGAAAAAAAAGTAATGAACATTTAATTCCTCGATACACGGTTGTACACGTGCCACGTGATCTCTAATCCGTCTGACGTGCGTGCGTCTGACGCTGAGAGGAGATCCCGCCTTCACAGATCGCCAGCGTGTGATATCGACGGATAGCAGGCAAGGATCGTGGCACGGTCGAAATAAACGGTCGAGAAGGTTAGAGGGCAGAGACGAGCTCTCGCGGCTCGTTATAACGTCACGTTATATCCACGTGTTAATGAAATTCGGCCTGTCAAAGCCACGGACTTGGCCACCGTGGACTTTGACGCGGGAATAAACTGTAGCCAGACGCGGAACCGGGTTTACAGGTGTGTGTCCGTTAACGGGGAACCGTGTCGGTAGATGGTCATGATTGATAGATAATCCCTCTTGCTTTTCTAGGTGGCCGGCTAGTGAATCCAGTGCAACGCGTGCTTACGCGCGTATATCACCAGGCGACATCGGGCGAACGTCGATACCGCGGCCGATTGTTATTTACGATCATAATCAACGCCATACGACCGCGCCGGTTATATTGCATTTTCGTGATAACGCGTTCGTTCCCCGGGCATCGCATCGGCCAGTTCGGCTCGGCGTCAAATGCACGCCGCTTCTCGGGATTTAGGATGAAAGGTTCGTCTGCTTTTCACGATTTCTTTTTTGTTCGTGTTGTTAAGTTCATCGATCTCGGTTCTTCGAATATATATACATTAACGTCTATCGTTAATATTTCGTTTACATTATTCAGCCACTCGATGAAAAATCGACATTTATCGATGTTTTAAATTATTTGAAATAAAATCGTATGGCAGAAAATCCAGTTGGTTTCATTTTCAAACGTGAAATCAATCTTATCAACGCTGAGTTCTATTTTTTCAAGGATGTTTTTATATCGTGCAGTGAAGATGAAAACGCAGGGCATACTTTCGTTGCCGAAAATATGCTGTAAGAATTTTGTAAGAAAATTGTAGAAAAAGAAGAGAACGCTATTACAAAATTATTGGAAATTTTTTTTCGTGATTAGATCCACCATAATCTTGAAGGTCGAAGTCTTTTCTTTACGGCAACGATAAAAATTCAAAACATTCTAACAACTTAATGTTCGATAAAATGGCAGGAAAAGATCGTATAACAAGTTTTAAGAAATTAGAGTAAAGATTTAAATTGTTTAATCATTTGGCTATCAAATAAAATAATTTTTTTTTATTTCGTATTTGTTTCTTCAAATAACCTTTCAAACAATTTCCA